GGCAACCCTGACATATTGTTCTTCTGACACAATGACTGTATACACTCAGTATTCACTACTCATCAATAGTGAGTTATCTACACTGAGAGGGTGGATTCTGCAAACAGCATTGCTGTCCCTATTATTGGGTGCTCACGTTGCTATTTCATTGATTGTTCTGAGTTTCTGCCTGTAAGTATCTGATCATGAACCCGGAGTCACAAATTAAATCAGATAAACACTCAGAAAGAGGGATATTTCTCTCTCCAAAGCTCGAGGGGCATTATTTTTTCTTACTATCACCATGCTGTTAACTTCAGCCTTATTTTATGGCCTGACAATGAAATTTGATTTAACTCAACTTTCATTTGCTGGCTTGAGTCCACCAAATACTGATTTGATTAACAATCATTTGAAACTCATCACAGGAGCAATTGGTCTTGTGCTTGGTATCAATGTAGGTTCTGTCAATGTAAATGGAATGGAGCTCACACAGTTACTAGTGCTTAATCAATGAAGGATTTGTGATCTGGAGGGTTTGGATATTGTTTCCTCGCAATAATTTTGTCAAGATTTCTCTCGCTTTATTGGTGGTCAGCTCAATAAGTAGAAATCAATTCATTTCCGTCATCTATGCTTCCTAAATGCAAAAATCTAGCAGGATCAGCTTACCTAACAAGCCAGAGGTTCCAGAGCAAATACAGCTTACAAGGAATATTGATGGCAGTTCTTGCCTTGGGGGTAACAAAAGCTGTTGCAGCCCTTTTGACCAGCTATAAAGCATGGTGAGTTTTGCTATATAAACCTTTGTACATGAAATAAATCCATCAAAATCTAGGTGTCACTGGCAAGACCTGAGACAAAATCTTAACACGTGTGGTAGCTCCCTAACAAAAGTGCAAAAGATTTTGCTACTTCTAGCTGAATCAGGGATGATCTATACTATATTATGGGTAAATACAAGAAGTCTATGCATGATGAACAACCTGATTGAATTTTTTAGATTGTATGGATAACACTGATGTCTCTCGAGATAAAAAAGGGTGCTTTAGTACAGTTCAACCAAATTGGGCATACAAATCTGTTTATTACAGTGATGCCAACTATCTCAGTAAGGAACAATTTTTTCAACAGCCAAAAAGTAATGATGAGGCTCATATTCAGTGCTAGTCTTTATTTCCAGTTCTCATCAACACCATTGTGTTTATTGGAATTATCACCCACGAAGATAATAGTTTTGGAGCCGAGAACGATAGGTCTCTGATGGAATCCATCAGATTTGCATCCATCCCTTCAACAAATTCAATTTCTCAGAGAGAAGAAAACTCTAGAGCAGTTAATTCATCCACCTCCAATCCTGTGCTGAATCCCGGTCAGACGAGCACCGAGACGCGAAAAATTGAGAATTATTCTAACATAGTATGAAATGAATGGTTTAATTTATGCATTTGGTCCTTGTTTTATTATCTATAAGTTTTGTGAGCTAAAGTTTCCAAGAAATGTTTGGTCATCATCATAGGTGTCAGATACCTTCAGGATCTTAAGTAAATGAATTTTACATCGAGAAGAATATTGACTTTTTTAACTTGAACTTAGAACTCGTGTCTACTATTCCATACTAGCCCCGCTTTCATTGCTATGGACGGGGCCGTCGTATTTCTCTTTGCACTATATGTGCCAATATGAAAGGTCCAAAATGGCCTCAGCTAATCAGCTCTAGTTTGAACACAAGCCCAACAGCCCTTCATGTTTAAACGTATGCAATAGCAGGTACAAGTTTACAGAAAAGTCTTTCGGCGGCTCATTTCTAATTCCCGACACCGCCCCTATCTTTTTGCGGCATCCCGGCGGTGATAATTATGGCGGACCGATGATCCGGCCCAGAACAGAGGCCCCAATTATTACGTATGGCTTAGTAGAGGGTTACACTGGTTGGACGACGTCGACCACTGCCTCATACGACCACTTGTGGAGCTTTTGAAGAGTAAAGCTAACCAGTTATCTTCCTTGTAAAGTTTGCTAGACTTTTGGAAACTTGACTCTAGCTTCTGGGTTTGACATCGGTGATATCTGTCCAGGCAAGTTGTAGATCATTCTCTTCACTTTCCTTCACGTTCCTTCACTTTCGTCTGTTTTCTTCCTACTGTACTTTTCCTCGGGCTAACGCGATACGTATACAGCTCTAGCTGTTGTTTTAAGGACTCGAGTCACGCGCAGCAGGGTAACGGAACTATCGAAACGCAAGGAACCAATCTATTACGACGCAGTCCAACAGCCTTTCCCTCCAGCGCTTCAAAGCTATAGACCACTAGAATCCAACCGTCACTTTCTCCCTAGAACCCTCATTCATCATGCCAGGACCAGCGGTGTACGTCGTCACAGCAGTTATTGGAGTTGTCGCTGCGGGATTGGCTTTCAAAGAGGTGCGTCCCTTCGTTGGTTTTTCTTCAGTTTCTTGTCTGATTTATAACAGTTTGTCTATGATCCACACATCAAACCTCACTTTGAAGCCCGTCGTAGAGCTCGTTCTCGGCGCGGGCAGCCCGTGCCTGTCCCAGTCTCAGTTGTCTTTAGCGCTCACAGGCGCTCGTCCACCGATTCTTCTTCGTCTTCCTCTAATAACGACAACCACGAGGACAAGCGAAAGATGCAAGACCTAAAGAACATGAAGGATATGGAAGATTTGAAGATGGATAGCCTGTTCGAGATGGAGGCGCTTGCCTGGAGAGACTCTACCGCTTCCGCTTCCGGAGTGGAGACCGACATGGGTACTCTTCGGCCACGAAACCGTAACAGAGCCGGCTTGGACGAGGCTTTCCCGCCTATGGTGCCTACTTCTTCTGGATCTACTCCTACGTCAAATTCTCCCTTTGTCACTTTGTCACCGTCCCCGGCGCCTGCTCTATCCCGAACGTCCAGCACCGGTCAGACTACGCATGTCATTGCTTCTTCTTCTGGATCACCAACTCCATCGACAACTGTAGCCTCGTCGAGGTTGAACAGTCCGTTGCCTCCGCTGCCCAAGGAGGTAGATGCTGAGGAAGAGCCGAGCTCGAGCTCAAGTCAGGCTCCTTCGTTACGTGAACAGGCTTCAGTTACTACTCTTCGTTCTCCTCCTACTCAGCACCCTGCACCTCTTCCAGCGGTACCAACAAACGAAGACCCATTCTCCTCTCCATCTCTCGTACCCTCCCTCTCCTTCTCTCATGAACTGGACGGAGAACTCGTTTCCCCACCTTCGTCGAGGGCCATTTCGCCTCCTGTTTCCTTGGACTCTCTTCGTTCCGGTTCTGCGTTCGCTATCCATTCTGAAGGAGAAGGAGAAGACGACTCGGTAGTGGGCATTGGTTCGAGACCCATGTCACCCTTTTCAGACTTTTCCCAGGTGTCTTCTGTTTCTGGTAACGACCAAGAAGACGAAGATGAAAGACAGACGAGGACACAGTTTGGGTTTACGTCTCTAGGAGGCTCCTTTGTCTCGGACTCGTACCCCGATAATAACACCGGCACCGGCAACGGCAATGGGTTAGGGTTAGGCGTGCTGAGCTCACTAAGCTTTGCACCTCCTCCTTCACTCGGTGCTTCGTTCATGAGCGAGGGCGACTTTGACCGCGATATCGAGGATGTGTCCCAGTCGTATTATTATACACCTTCCAACTCTGTTTTCCTGCCTACACCTATTACTTCCAGAGCTTCTGGTTCTCCAGGTGGAATACCTATGAATGGAATCGAAGAAGAAGAAGTCATCTCTTTACCTTCTTCTCCCCGTTCACCTCGTTCACCTTTGTCTGATGGTTCAGACTCGGATTCGGGTTCGGGTTCGGGTTCGTCGTTGGAGGACTCGGATTCGGACTCTGATTCGGAAGTTATCGTACACCACGATGCAGATGATGTAGTGTCCGAATTTGGAGGTTCGGAAGTTAGTGAGGAGAGTTGGGCTAGTGTGAGTGGGGGTACTGCTACTTCTAGGGCGGGTAATGGTTATGGTGCTAGGAGGGTTTAAAGTTAGGGGGCTGGCAGGAAGCAGTTGACTCGAGTGCTGTTGCGTAATCTGGAAGCTGTGTCGGACGGCCTGTTATTCATCAGTGATGATGAGATCAATTGGGCCGTCATGACTTGGAGGAGGAAGATATTGCTTGGTTTAAGGGAGGAATGCCCTGGAGAGGTGGTACGGAAAAGGAAAACGAGAAAGAAATTACAATAAAAGATAAAGAAAACAACGGTAATGTGTATCATATTGTGTATAGTTTGGTTTTGGTTCTTGTTCGGGTTGAGCTGCGGGGAAAGGGCAGGTGTGCATAGTGCATGTTGGCTAGACCTGGTCGTCACGGTATCGGTTGCCTGCGTTCATTCTACTTATCTTTTTGTTGCATTACAGTTGACAGACTTTGCTTTTCTCGTATCTCGTCGTTTTTGCCAAGTATTCTATCCTATTCCCGGTTCTCGTTTTGAGCGTTTTGGTTTTGGTTCTGATCTTGGTTTTCTTTTCCCTTTTTTTTGTTTTGCTCAGCGATCTTCCCTGCTCATCATCATATCAATGCGTACGCATTCGCATGTATCTATACATCTACATACGTCGTGTATATACATCCATTCTCCTATTCGTAAAATTCCAAAGTAAATAAATGAACCTCTACTTTTGCAAGTGTTACCACGATTCCCCGCTTTTAAAAAATGTAAAGGCCGAATCGAGGTCTAATTTTAAGCTTTCACACTTTTTCATTATAGTCAAGTACCCTAGGCAGGCAACCGTAAGCTAAGGCTTTAGCGCAAGTTAACCTGAGCCAAGAAATTGTGGGGTAAATTATCACATTTCGTTCTAGATATTCAGTCGGTTGAAATCCGACCGAAATTAAACCAAGAAATCGAAGCTTACCTCGACTTACGTGCAAGTTGGAACCAGATCTCAGGTTCAGCCAAGCACGACAACCGATGCCCGACGCCCAGGATACAGAGGAGGATTTTAAAGTTTGAACATGCACACAGTGAACGTAAGACTCAAACTCAAACAGTTTGCCGTGGTCACTTTGCCGGAGTGGTTAACGGGATCGCCTGCTATTTCAACGAATGACATAGTATAGCGGTTGGGCTTTGCCCGCGTGTGTTCGAATCGCACAGGTGACGATAATTTGCTCGTTGATAAGATTGTTTTTTGTTATTCATTTTCGTTTCTGTGTACTTTTGGGCAAGATTTAAGAGCGTGGCGGAGACATTTGGACGACGGAGGTAAATAAACATCCGGGTTTGATTTTATGACGGAATGCGGGGTAAATTTCAAATAAAGGGCGATGGCTTCAAAATTTCAAGGGTATGCTTATGATTCGGATTTATCATGTGTATGGAGCGAAAACTGCATGCATCCATGTTCTACCTGTGTCTAGTACGAGACTGATGAATATCTTGGAAGAAAAAGTCAGAAGTTTTTAAAAATTTATAAAAGTTTTTAAAAATTGATAAGAGGATCCGCAGATAGCCCACCGCGAGGGTCGAACTCGCAGCCTTCAGATCACCGCCTATAAGAGTCTGACGCTCTATCCGATTGAGCTAGGCGGGCTGACAAGCAATGCATCTAAGCCTTGTCCAACGTTCCGGCAAAAAAAAGTGTCAGATCTAGGCAGCAGAACTTCAGCACAGGCAGGCCGAGGCCTGAGAGATCTTGAGAGATGGCATGGAAGTTTGCCGCCACTGCTTGCGCGACCCTTTGGAATTCCCTAGCGGTCCCGATCATTCACCGAGATGATCGGTGGGGACTGCATAGTTTGAAGGGTCTTCAAGGGCCCTGCTTTACTTACTTTTGTGAATGGTCGGTCCACGGAGAAATTTCCATGTATTAAATGCTCAGGTTCGCACGAACGGGTTATAGCTGTATTGCTCCGATGATGACAAGCTAAAATCTCAATTTGAGCTCCGAAGGGGTACTTACATGGTGTTGTACTTGATACAAGGGGGGTAGAAGGTTTTTTGTGCGGTCTCCATGAGTATTAGGACAGCTACGTATAAAATTCCGAAAGATCGTGTCAAAATATTCAGCGCTCAGCCTTGACTTCAAGGGAATCTATCTATAAGTGACCGTGTGATGGTCCAGATGTACTTTGTAGCGTTGGCTATATTCAAATGATATGCCCTACCGCGAAAGCATTTAGTCCCACTAGCACTCGGAGTTTACGCAGGTCCTTTTGAAAGCGCTTTTATATTCAGCCAACCCTTCAGATTCAGAGTTATTGACTAGTAACCAGATTCCCTGATGGACTTTCATTCGCGTAGAAGGATGAGAACACGATCCCTTTTTTTGACTATCTCCAGTCTCAATTGAATATAATAATGAATCCAAAGATAGAATCTTCAAGCACACGAAAATGCTCCAACTAAATCACAGACCGGTATAGGCTGCCACCTATGGGTTACCTTCAAACGCTTTGAACCTCGCGCCGGATATCCACGATGGTGGGCTTAATATTCCTTGTACTAATGCTCTGATTATTCGACGCATCAAAATTAGAAGCTGTTCCGATAGGAATATGTTTCACGGTACTTACCGAGTCTGGTTCATCAAAGTCAATCCCCTTGGAGCCTGTTGCTGGAGATGAATTGTTTCGTCCTCCGCTTGAGGTGGAAGGAAGATGTCCGATGGGAATAGAATGCCAGCCGTTCTCACTATCGTACGTGATTTTGGCTATGTGCCTTCTTGTGTTGAGGCTGCGAAAACTCCGATCAATGTCAATCATGAAACTACGAAAATCTGATGCGTACGTAGCAAGCATACTGTTCATATACACTATATGGGGAAAGGCAACAGTCAGTACAGAACATAATGTTATCGAAGCTTCATACGCACATTTACTACTGGGAACCAGTCCCAAAAAGAAGTAGAAGGTGTTTGGAATTGCGAGGAACTACAGTAACATTGAGTATAATTAGAAAACATTGCAACGGAACAGGCTTACAAGAATGAGATTGATTGCTGCTGCAACCGCGGTCACTACCCCACGGTTGACGGCGTTCACCATCAAAGTTTTCAACATGGTGTTTGTTCTAGGAAGACACGTTCAAATCTCAGTCATTCTTGGAGTAGAACTTCAACGCTCACGCTCTGACAGGACCCTTCTTACTTCTAAGTGTCACGTACAGCGTCACTGTAATGACAATGTCGCAGACCAAGGATGCAGCACTTTGAACTGATGTGATTTGCTGGAGGTGGTGATTAAAGGACGATCACGTACATAAATTCTGAATTAACGTACCTTGGTAGTATCCAGAAGCTGCAGATCCCCGAGCTGCACACTGAAATTGGATCAGTATCGAAATCGAATTATGGAATGCGTCGAATTTCATTACACTTTGACAGTTTGAGCTGAGAGGGTTTCATAATTATTAGTTTTCCGTATGTTGACGGATTTCACGACTTACTGATTCCGGCGGCAATCTGCGTAATAGCCAAAGCCATCTTAATGAACGGAATAAAGATCAACGCCACTTTTTAATTAAATAAAAATTCAAACTCACGATGAGACCAGTGACAAAGAGCTTTTTGTTGTCAACTGAAAAAGCTTCAATAAAGGATATTGGACCCAAAAGCTGGAAGAACTGACGTAGATAGATTTTGTACCCAAAATATCTGCGGGCATATTGAGATAATGAAGTCAATAAAACTTCAAATAACTCACACCTGTACCACGAATGCCGACAAGTACTATTTAAATCCAACATCAGCGGACAAGAAGAATGCGGGAGGGACATGTGAGCTTACTCCTGCCAACAGCTGGGTCTACGTTTGAATCTCATCAGTTAAGAGGAGTGATCAGTTTCTTGTGCTACCAACCTCATCAAGCCTGTCATTTGCAAAAATGGTTAAAGATGAAGAGATCGTTTGTCATAGAAGAACGTACCAGCTAATTTCTGTCAGCAGATCAAACCTTCCGAAGTGGTCAATCAACGCATGATAGGTGCCTGCGAAGAAGAAACATATGTGCAATGTCTCGAGCACGCTGTGATAAGTCACGGAATAAATATCAACCAATGCAAGTTCTCGAAGCTCTCTATACCCACAGGAGCAATATGATCTAATAAGGATTAATTACTCCTTCGAGTCAACTTTTGTAACAATCTATATCGACTCACTGTTGATTTTACACCCCAGTGATCCTTGGGGTACCAATGGAAGTATAGCCATGTCTGTAAAAGAGCGATTCCATAGAGTCTGCAAAAATATCATCAGAGGTTGCATTCAAGTCACTCGAGGAAAATCCTTACATGGTGGCCAGAAAAAGAGAGACAAGCCAGATACCATATGTCGGTGCAAGAGGACTAGCCATGAGAGTGGCGGCAAGGGTATTTTGTTACATGGTCATCGTCGTATATAAGTAGCACACAATGGTTCCTTGTTACATTGTGACTGTTCAACATTGGTAGTGCCTCACAGTCTGCATTGACTTCCGTCTTCACCCTGAAAAACCTCCATTTGATCATTCTCCAAATGTATCGGAACTTCATATGTGCGATGGTTAAGGGTTATATCGAACACTTAATCGCCTAAGTTTATGCACATGAATCTCGGGAAGATCTTGACTTTGATACACGTCTCCACGTAGAATGACTTCGAAGTATCAGGTCATGCTGCGTATGTTAGCCCTCTGATCGGCATTACAGTAAGCCTGAAGTTCCAATTTAAGAACCTAATACACAAGCTCTGATATGATGCAATTCGGAGACCGCGGTCGAGTAAATTTACACACACAGGATCGTAGTAATCAGCAATCTCTTTCAAGCTGAAAAGATGTGGATATAGCGGAGATTTAAAGTCACATTACTGCACCGAAGTGATATTAAACAGAACTCTTAGTCTTAGAAATCGGTCCCGAAGTATTTTCGAGCAACTTGGAAGGGCTACTTCAACTAGTGGAACATGATAAGTGCCACTGGTGTGGCCTCAAATGGAACACTCTATGGGCTGCAGGGTAGAGAGAATAGTGTGCTATAAGCGATTATTTATTACTCTATCAGCTTCTAGAAACTTTCGGATGCAAAAATTTAGTCCAAAGCTGCTAACAGGAACTAAATAAGTGTGCCTTTTCTGCGGAGCTGGAAAATCTCGATTTTGTAGTATCTCCCCACGAATGCTCTTTGAACTGGAGGTTTTCGTATAAATGACACAATCTATTCAGGGTGACTCCGGTGGTCGTTAGCAGTTGAGTATATAGTTTCAGAAGTAGTCGAGGTTCTCTCATGAGAAAATTCATATTCATGTAGATAGATTTTTCTACCCAAGGTCTAATGAATTATACGCAATACACGGACAGTAATATAATTCAAGTCACGGATCAGCCGAAAGAGTGTATTGCAGTAGGCGATGCTCTTTATAACGTCTACGAGGGACCATCGTGCACAGAGTTTCTGCTTTCCACGATATGCCTGAGTTTATTCTACCCAACAACATCAAGTTCTTCTATGAAGACAGTGGTGTTCCAACTTCCCAGGCTCAGAACTATACAACATTGTTCATCATTCATGGCCATACATTCCATAGTGGTAATTCGTGCTCCCGTCTTTTAATTCCCAAAAGTAAAATTTCAAATCTCCGATAGGTCTGTTCAAGCGCATCATCCCTGTTGCCCACGCCAGATCGTACCGTATGATTGCTATCAATCGACGGGAATACCCGGGTTCCACCCCATACACGGAAGAGGAACTCAAGATTTTCGCCGAAGGTCCTGATGATGCCACGCGCACGAAACTGCTCATGACCGAGGGATCTAACCTCGCCCTTCTTCTGGATGGCCTGATCCAATCTCTTTCTCTTCCCCTAGCTGGTGGAGTGGCAGTGGTTGGATGGTCTTTGGGAAACCTCTATGCGCTACTGTTACTAGCATCCATTACGTCTCTTCCTCAGGATACTAAAGAAAGACTTGGAAAGTTTGTTAACAGAGCGATCTTGTGGGGTCTGTACCTTTCATTACTTTCATTTCCCCGTCTGTTTTTTTATAACTCTTTATCCTAGATCCACCTATTCATCCACTCGGTATTCCATATGATCAAAGCACTTGCTACGTACCTCTTTGGGATCCCGAGCTCAACCCCCAAGAACGTGCGATGGAATTTGGAAAATGGGTTACTTATTACTTCGTTCA